TTGGTTCCTTTATAGGCCCTAATGCAGGTGTGGTTTCTCTCTTAGCCCCCAAGCTACCTTCTGTGTCAGCAATGCCTATTGAGCTTGGAACAAATCCTTGGGGCAAAGATATAATTTATTCTCTCCTTCCCCTGGGAGCACCCCAAGCACAAGTACCCAAAGGGACCCTCTCAAAACACCAGAAAAGGATGGAGGAAGCTGCCAGATCCTTTCCTCCTGGAGCTGAGCCAGCACTGACATTTGTCAGCAAACCACAGCATCCCTTTCTGCTCCTCACCTCAGTGTCCTCTCCTCCTGCTCACCACCCCCTGTCTCACACCTGGGAATAAGCTAAGAAAACACCAAGATCCCATTTTCTAACCAGAAATTAATGTCTTAAGAATGAAATTAAATTAAATTGGGTCACCCTGTTCCTCATATTACTGTGAGAAAGGCAACAATGTCTTCACTGAAAGGAAACAGAAAGCCATTTCAGGGGTTTGTTTGTCAAAGAAGGCACCAATTCTATCATGTTCTCACTCCCAAATAAATCCATTAACAAGTATACAGAGTGAGTTTTACTTAGGTTTTCAACATTTTACTACAAATTTGTGAGTATTAATCATAATTTCAAGCCTAAAGTGTGTGAACAAAATACACATGTAGGCAAATATGAACAATAAGTATGCAAAATGTAAAATCATTAGCATATTTATTCACATAAAAGTACTGGAGCAGTACCTCTTCCACATTGCTCCAATTTCCAACAAAATCTTATCTTCCAGGTTTAAAGGTTGCATGACAAATTCTGAACTATCTCTTGCATCCATCAACAGATATAATAACTTATACACTTTCATCTGGACATAAATCTACTATTTTTACACAAATTCTTATTTTTCAACTTCGAAGAAAATACATTTTCTCAAACTTATGCCAAATACAATTTGCATTCTTCACTGGATCGCAGTAGACAGAAACTGTTACTTTTAAAGTGAGGTCTGGATTTAATTTTTAACAGTCTGGTTTATGTTATTCTAGCTTGCCTTTGAAGAAAGTATGAATGCAATTTATGCCTTCTACAAGGATCCCTTTCTCCTTGCCAGGACTTCACTGGAAACACAGTCCACCTATTGTTCAACTATTAGAGATTTCAGAAAAAGGAGTTCTACAGCCTCTACTATAGAATCAAAATTATTATCAGCATTCTGTAGTGTCCTGTAAAGGGTGTAGATAATTTGATAAGAATTTGAGATTACACTAATCAATTTTTCTTTTTGGACACTGCAAAGAGTTCTGTCTCTAGATTTACTCCAACATGGAAACAATTTGACACAAATCTTTGGATACTCCACCAAAGAAGTAAAATCCCAGCGGATTTCAAAAGACATTTATTTTTTTGAACAAAATCTCCCAATGCTTGTGTATAATTTTTTGGATAATTTTGAATTAATGCATATTAAATTATTATAGTAAATAGCAGGGGATGTACTAGCTAGATTAGGTTGCTTTTTTGAAGGCTTTTTGGGCTCAGAAGATAGGGTAATGCAATACTAATCTGGGAGATTTCTAGGAACTGCAAATGTTAAAAAATAACACTTGCACAGTATCTGTTCTATATGACATATTTGGCTATTGATTTTCAATACAGTATTATCCACTGTACCTGTACTGTATCTTTCTCTGGGGCATCATTTGCCTTTAAACATCCCCGTAAGCTGTTTCTCACAGAAACTTCTACTTTATTTGTTCAACATAGAACTGAAAATAGTACATCTTTATTACTTAGTTGCAGATCTATCCATATTGGCATTCACTTGGGGTTTTTTTATAGGGCCATTCAAAGTTTCTAGCTTCATCTGTATTACTTTGGCACCAGGCTTCTGACTGAGCTAACATTTAGATAAGAGAGGATGGATTCCAGACCCTCCTGGGCTTATAAAGTAAAGCACTATAACTTTGAACCTGTGCAGTATGTCTCCCAAGTTAGAAGCAAAGAACTAAAGAAATTCTGGTGAAATTTGGTTTGTAGCAATGCTGTTAAATTGCAAGAATGGGATTATGACCAGGGTTATAATAGCAGCATTTTAAAATTATTTATATATACATATATGCATCTTTAAATCCTTTCACTGTAGCATATTTTTTTAGAATACTGGGAAATTTCTAAAATATTTTCTTAGATAATAAAATCTCCTGCCTTTCCATCTATTTTATGAAATACTCTGGAGTATTTCAAGTACTGATGAAAAGGTAACTGTAAAAATAATTGGATACTTTACTATCAAAAAATGTTTCTGCTTTCTCATTTCCATTAATATTTCCTATCTTTTTTATCTTTTTATCTTTATTTCCCATCTTCTAAGGCTTTCTATTTACAATCCTTATAGAAAAGAAAAGTCATATCAAAAATCAGGCAAAAATATCAATGGCTAACTATCACAGCTATTAAATTAATGAATATACCTCTGTAATTAATGCATTGACTACCCCTCCATTACACACATACACACACATATGCACATATTTATATTGACAATTAGATACAAAGTCCCAAGGAATGCTCAACAATGTAGATCACATATGTGGAGATCAGTGGTCAGACAGGTCCCTAACATACTCCTATCAATAATCTTTATCTAATTACAGTGAGGTAGCACTCTGATATGGTACTAACCAAGGTCTCCACTCTGTAAAGGGGGACCCTAAACATGTGTCTAGGAGGTAAACAAGAACTTGATCCACTCATTGAGAACATAAGCCTTTAGCAACATTCAAAATTCTCTGAATTTCATAACACTAAAGGAAAAAAAAAATCCAAGCCTTAATGTTTTAACAGTACAGTGGGAAATTGGTCAAAAGCTGAGATCAGTGTCATGAGCCTGAAGCTGCTACTGAAAGATTTTACTTATGAAAGATTATTACAACACCAACTACATCAATGTAATTATATCAGTATAGTAACTTTCAGCCTGGACTTGACTTACATAACAACCTTTCAGTTTATAAGAATAACCTACACTGATTATGGGAAATTCTGTCTACTTCATAAGCAACCTCAAAATGATAACCATAATGAAAGAAAAGACAAAGATGAAAAGAAACACTACATTCCTGATTTCTACTACCAACAGATGGAGTCAGAGAAAATTACACAAATCCAAATGTCAACTTAAAACATTGCCACAAAATAAGGGAAAGAGATCTGTTGTCTTAGAAAGACAGAATAGTTGAGACTGGAAGGGACCTCTGTAAGTCTCCAGTTCAAACACCCTTCCTCAAAAGTTCTGCCAGCAGAGCAGATTCCTCAGGGATATTTGGGTTTTGAGCATGTCCAAGAATGGAGACGGTACAAATCTCTGTGTGATACATTCAAGTATTAGACAAAATTCAGTCAAATAAGTGAGTTTTTTTTAATGTTTGAATGGAATCTGGAATAAAGTTTCAGAATATGATCATCTCCTTAGAATATGATCACCACATTTCAGAATATGATTCCTCCTTAAAAATGAGCAGAAAAACAAGTTTCCATATTTTGAATGGAAAAGCTCATGCTTAGAAAGTTAAAACAAGCAGCTCTTCAGATGGGATAGGAGACAAATCTGCTATCTTTGCTATGTACTCCTGGAGCTTTAGGTGATGCTAGGAGACCACAACAGATAAAGACAGACAGACAGGTTAGCATATATGAATCACAGACACATCAGGAAACTGCCAGAAACTAAAATGTACAAATCTCTGTGTGATACATTCCAGTATTTGACAAAATTCAGTCAAATAAGTGAGATTTTTTTTAATGTTTGAATGGAATATAGAATAAAGTTTCAGAATATGATCATCTCCTTAGAATATGATCACCACCTTTCAGAATATGATTCCTCCTTAAAAATGAGCAGAAAAACAAGTTTCCATATTTTGAATGGAAAAGCTCATGCTTAGAAAGTTAAAACAAGCAGCTCTTCAGATGGGATAGGAGACAAATCTGCTATCTTTGCTATGTACTCCTGGAGCTTTAGGTGATGCTAGGAGACCACAACAGATAAAGACAGACAGACAGGTTAGCATATATGAATCACAGACACATCAGGAAACTGCCAGAAACTAAAAGGCAATGCAGATAAGCCTTTGGCATTTTCAGTAAGAAACTTCCAAGGTACAGACACAGATAGTTAAACTAAGGAGCTAAAAGCCAAAGACACAGAAATCTTTCAGCTCACTGTACTGTCACCTAGAGACAAAGCAGGATTATAAGACTGTTGCTAAATTCTGCCACAGTCTTTTATGACAATGCTTATTTTATCTGCTTACAGTTCCTAAATTTGATTAACTTCTTCAGCCAGAAGAAAGGCTTTGTTTAAAAGCACACAGTGTACTCCAACTTACTCCTTGCTGCTGAGTGTTACCATCAACAGATGAAGACAAACCAAAATAACAGGCTTTAAACATACTTAGCTCAAGAGAAAATTCATCTAGACAACAACTTTGTCAATTCTCATTTCTTTTCTACATAACACTCCCTTTGCCCCATATCTACTTGTCCTTAGTAACAATGAACTCTGGCAGATTGTTTGATATTTTATTAAATGTAGTAAAAATTTTCATATCTTATGATGCTTTATAATGGTCTCCTCTGATTGTTACAGAAATCACTTTTAACTTCAATCCATCCACAAAAAACTGTTCTACGTGCAGACAAAAGAATGAAGTAATGACCAAAGGAGTACAGATATAATCAAGAGAGTAGACTAGAACCCTTGAATTCTGTCACTTCCAGGTGAAAGAGAGAAGAGAATGAAAAGGAAACTCATCAGCTGATGCTACCTGTAACCACCTCATCTAAGACTGTAAAAGGAAACATTGTAAACCACATGTAATCAGGTATAAGACACTTCTCAGTTGGCAAAAAAAAGAAAGGCAAGGGGAAAAAGTGTATGATTAAAAAGAGGAAAAGAGAGAGAAAAATACAGATTTTTTTTTCCCCAAATCATGGCCATGTGCAGAATATACAGAAAAGTCCTTACCTTTTTCACTGACACTTTCACTTTCTATCTCCACATCTTCACAGCTAGTATATTCTGGTGTTGATGCCCCTTCTTCCTCTGAGCTACTAACTGACATCTGCCTTTTCTTTCCGCCTCTTTTTGCTCTATGAGGCTTTGGAGGGGATGGCCGCACTGATTCCGACTGGTCAGAGCTAAGGGAATCATTCCTTAGCATGGTCTCCATTTTCTCCCGCTTTGCTTTTCGCATGAGAATAGCAGAGCTAGGATCAAGGCGGCTCTGTTTTATAAAGGAATCGTGGTTCTTGTATTCTACGTGTTCTATAGGAACTGGACTATGCCTGGGAGTTGGTGGGCTATGATTAGTTAATTGTTTAGAAACAGAAATTCTTACATCACCTGTTCTGTCTATAGAGTACGACCTCTGAGTTTCCACAAGAGATTTTCTGTCCTGAGTTCCCTGTAATTGTGAGCGTTTTCCTAATTTATTCTCAGGTACCTCCGCTTCCTCCATTTCTGTGTGTGGCAAAGCTACATCACTGTGTCTTCTCTCGTGTCGTGCTTTAGAAACTTTGGCGTGCATGCGCATCTGCTGCTCCTCAGGGTGTGGTTTTACAGGGTATCTTGCCAGATTGGGGTCACTCTTGTAACGGGTATGATATTCATCTTCCTTCCTTTGTTTGTCATCATCAGGCACTTTGCCTTCCTCAAGTTTCTCTGGCAAGTCTGGGTAATCCTGTGACTTGCCTTTCTCCAGCCTTCTACCTTCATGCCGCTCTTTACGTTCCCTGTCATCTGTTGGTCCTTCTTTTTGAAGTGAGGATTTTGGCACACGCTTACGCTCACTCTTTACGCCTTTGCCATTCTGGTCAGAAACCAATACTGCCTTCTTCCTACAATGAAAAGGAGTACAGTAATATGAAAAATTGAATGGAAAATAGAAATACTTGCATACAGTTATGGAAAACAAATTCAAAACCAGGGTAAGCTATGGCAAAACAGAAAATACTGAAATTACTACAAATTAAATTTATTAATCCTTCTATCTTAATTTTATTTTCCAATAGCAAACACTTCCAAATTCACAAAAACATAAATTACGAATGGTCCAATTAATGAGTAAAATCAAAACAGAATATTGACATGCATAATTTACCCACATAAGGAAGAAGACCCAGAGCTGTCTTTGTAGTAACTGCAGCATTATGACAGCGTACTGAGGTATGTTCTCCATTTTTCTGGCAGTAGTCATGAGAGTTACAGACTAACCACACAATTCACTTTAAGTGCCCTGACAGCATGGATATAAATACCACCAAATGGAGTATCTACCACAATGATATCACATAAAGAAGTAATGTAGATATAAAAAAATGCAAAAGATAATATATCCAGAAATAATATTTAAACTAGTTTGATTTATCTTTGAAACTTTAAAAGTTTCAGAAGCATGCAATGGAAAGCAAATTGATTGCTTGAGATAAATTAATGGTATTCCTTTCTCCAGTAATAAAAGAGGATGAGAAGTTTATTTCTCTATGCAGACATAAGTACAAAACAATAAATAATGAAGTTGCATGATTTTTTTTTTCTCTTTCATATTCTGCAAGCCAATAAGCAAGCCAAATAATCGTAACATTCCCTTATGCTGGATATTTTTATTTCTCTCATCATTCCAACTGCCCTTTCATTTAGCAGTTCACATACAAATCCATTGATTTTGAAGAAGGAGGAACACAGCCATACAGTGTATTTGAGAAGAATGCACACCAGGACAAAGTCACTAGGACTATGTTCTGTGGCACTGAATCTTCCCTTCCACAACTGACACATCTTTGGATTACATATCAAAGACCCTCACAAAGAACAAAGTTGGACATCATCCACATTAAGCTCCCTTCTTTTTTTTTTTATCCCCATCTCCTGTTCCTCCAGAGTTTTTGGTAATTAATGGGACCTGAGCTTACTATAGATAGTCTTTAATCTGAATGCTTGGAAGTCATTTGAAACTCTCAGTGACAAGTAAAGAACACTAATTTTGTATAACTGATATGAACATCTCAATTTTGGACAGCAAAGCAGAAATCTAAAGTGTTTTCCTGCCCTAGAAGCTACAGCTGCTCCGGGGGCCTCCCTGTGTTGAGGGACAAAAGTCAACAGAATTATGGGAGAGCATCACTTAGACAATACATATCTGTAACACTAACCTGAATTTGATATAGTTAAACCCAGACAGATCTCACCCACACAGTAAGTTACTAGCCACTGCTCATCACCCATTTTCAGATCCAATAGCTAGGGGAAAAAAAAATCATCAACCATTCTGGCCAGAATCTGGAGAATCTTCTATGGCAGACTCCTGTTTTGCTGTCACAGGCTCCCTCCTCAACTGCTCTGCCATCTGCCAGGCAGCAGCCAAAGGAACAGCAAGTATTTCATTGCATTAGCCTCTCCTGATTTGCTACTGCTCAACCCATTCATCGCACAGAATGCAGCTCAGGAATTACCTCTTTAACTCATTTAAAATAGTTTTCTTCTGGTTGCTTTATTCTTGCAAACAACTTGCTCTGCATTCAAGATGGTACTATTGCTGTTCTACATGAATGTTAACTTCACACACATAAATGAGGTCTTTGAACTGTATTATTTCTAAAAATAAAACTGGAAATATTATTAATGACAAGATAAAAAATAAGGTTATTTGAAAGAATTCCACAGGGTGTTTTCTGATTGTTTAGGTGTGGATTTTTCAGGAGAGTGCTGCTTTAAAAACTCAAGAATGCTAAAGGCTTGCTCTTTGCTTAATAACTTTAAAATACCAGTCAAATTTAAAATTTAAAAGTAACCTACTTTTAAATAATTAACTAATAATTCTATATTCAAAATGTACATTAAAATGCATTGAAGTATATAGGAATACCCACAAAATACTTTTTTTTCCTCATTTTTGTTGCACAGACCAAAATACACAATGTATTTGCTAACAAAAATTTATCCTTCCCTGGTGAGTAAATCAACTTACTCTTTGTTTTTGCACAGTGGTAAACATACAGAAGGCCCAGCTGAACTAGCATTTAGCATTGTAGGCTGTATCTAGACAGAAAGCATTACCTCTCTTTTGGAGGTTCACTTCTAGACCTTGAAGCTTGCTTTTGGTCCGGGCCCATAGCTGGCTGTGACACTTCTGCTCCTTTCCTACGGTCAGGCTGCACACTGGAAGAGATTTCCTGTGATGAGGCAGCTGCTGTACTTAGGGGAGTCTGTGACCTCGATCGCTCTTGAAGTCTTGCTTTCTTTTCTCTGGGTGCATCCGAGCTCGCGCCCGTCGCCGTATCGCTCAGCGTCCCGTCCTGGCTGGGCGACGGCTGCGGTCCGCTTCCGAAAAACCACGCTCCAGATTTCGTTAGGATTTCTTGTTGCTTTCGACATAAATTGCATACCCACATAACCTAGTTGAAGACAACAAGAAGAGTCAGTGCAGCTGCCTCCCAGAGCCCGGAATGCATGCTCACTACCGCCGAGCAGGTACGACCTCTGGCTCTCTGAGCTAGTGAGGCTGGTGCTCATGACAGGACCCAGAACATGCTGCTCACTGGCCAGAGCCAAGCATCCTACAGGCACATGCTATGCGAGCTTCTCCAAAATGTGTTCTCAACATACATCAGTCCTACCTGTGGCAATCCTCCCTCAGCCCAGCCCTAGTTCTCCTCTGAACAGACACCATGAGCAGTGCTTGTTGGGAGGGTTGATGCAGCGGGGAGTGAGTTGGGATTTTTCCACTGGTGTGGATCGCTGTCAGGACAGACCAGCCCACCAGACAGTAAACAGGACTTGTACCTCAGGCAGCAGTGTCCTGCCCAGCTAACTCCCAACTTCAGTGGTCACAGAAAATTGACAGGGTATTTTCTTGTGAATTAATTCTCTCACATTAAATAACATTATCCTGCAAATAAATTCATTTCCATGAATGATTTTAGCTATGCCTACTGCAATTACTTAGAGGTGTAAAGTAAAACCTTAAGAAATCTACTAACAGAAAACTAAATACATCAATGAAAAGAATGCAAAAGTACCATATGTTGTACTACTTGCAAATTATCATCATTATCTCTTTGAATGATAGCTGCAAATAATAAATTAACAAACATGTGCCTTGGTAAATTACAATTAAGTTGTGTGCCTAGGATTTTTTTTAAAAAGTGGGGGGTTTAATTCCTTACACACACATACACAGGAGCACACACATCAAAGAAAGACTATGCTTCCAGCCTGTATACTGTAGAGACAGTCTTATGTACTGGAGCAACTCTCCAGAGAAAAATAAATAGTTAATCAAGACTAAAGTATGTGAAAATTTAAGAAAAATTTTAGACAAAGAGAAAAGCAGTTTTCAGAAAGGAGAAAAAATAGGCAAAATGTATGAAGGATGTAGAAGAGAGAGGATTTTTTTGTCAGAAATAAAAATAGAGATGAGAGGAAACAAAGCTGATTATTATTAAGGAAAATAGTAAAGAAAATATTTTAATTTAATATGGAAAGTATACAGGAATGGGTAAAATTGCAAGGAAGCAAAAAAGAATGACAAAAGTTGGAAGGAAAAATATGCTTGAATTATTTTGTGTAAACACAGGAATGATGAAACAGTCACAAAATTGTACACTGCTTAAAATTAAAAAGCAGAAGAAAAACCCACTTAATGGAAAAAACAGGACAAAGTTCTGTTACTGAGCTCTTTTACTCTCTGGCCTGTGGAGGTAGTGCATGGCTTACAAGGCACAATAAAAACTTCAGGCATTTCACATATTCAAAATAATTAACATTTATTTAAAACACTCTAGAATAGACTATCTTTGTAGGTCTGAAAACTACATCAGAACTTCCAAGTTCATTCCTGCACTGTTTGACCAAACCACACAGAGAAGACATCCAACCTGTCAGGACTGTACCTTTATCAAGAGCTGACTGTTATATTTCTTCCTTTTAAGAAGGATAATAAAGTATCTATTAATACTTCAATTAAAAAAGACCCAACCTTAATCAAAAGCTACAGTTATTCCAACAGGGGCATAAACATATATCATGATAAAAACAAACAACACTCAGTAGGATAATAGAAACAGCAACTTTGACAAAGATAAATTCTAGACCTTTAAAAAACAAAAAAACCCCTCAATTCCAAAATGTCTAATTTATTTCATCTAGTACACCTTGAAAACCAGCAATTCAGTTTATTAGACTATGTATTCTAAATAGAACAGAATTTTAGTCTATCAGATTATTATTACAGGTATTCAAAAAAGCCAGCAAGGCTAAAAGGAAAAAAAAGCCACATTTTAAAATGCTTTTGTAGGATCTGCCACAGCTGTTAGTTCATTAGACAGCAAAAGTGTGCATGCAAATGCGTCTGTGTATAAAATCTATGTCAATCTATGCTATAAACCAAGGTCACTAAAAATAATGTCATTACCTGAAGCAAGTGTTAATAAAAAAATGCATCAACTAGAGTTTGTTTAAAGGATAAGGAATACTTAAGTAAAAGTTAATTATCCTAATTAAATTGCATGTGTATGTATGCAAGCCCAGTAACACACTTCCTTTACAACTTAATGTATTCAATAATTTTAAATATGTATAAATTATGTAATAAACTTCAAGAAAATACAGTTAATTTGCATAATCACTCTTGATACTGTAGATAATTTTATGCAAAATATTACGAGATGCAAACAAATAAGAATAGCTAATGCACAAAGAGACTTGGAAAAATACAGAATACTGAAAGAAGAAATACTAGACAAGTAAATACAAACCCATTTTCCTACAGCTATTTTTAAACTCGGCATCTTGGACACAATACATACCAATCACCACAGAGTACACACATAGGAAATCTGTATTATACTCACATAGAAGCTATACTACCACTCATGTTTAGGAATCTCTTCAGGAATTTAAAAATGCTACAGTCGCCTTGAGATCTATTCAGTCCAAAAGGAAAAATAATAAAAGCTCTTCTTTGAGAGGAAAAAAAATCAAAAAATTGAGGTGACAGAAGAGTTTCAGTGACAAAACTGTATATTGAAAAACATTTTTAGAGAAGTATGTGGAGCAAGCAATTCAGCAGCATGCAGGAATTATATCCTGATTGAATATACTGGGATGTGGTCCAAACTAATCTAAACTAAAGCAGGTCTGTGTAATAACTTATCTTAACAATCCACAGATGTTAGGCAACCAAACAAATGCTCTGATGAAGGATTACAGTTCTCTAATGTGGCTTCTGGACCTCCACGCGATGCATCAGTAAAATGAAGAGTGTAAGACAATTTTACTCTGGCCTGTCACTTCAAAAATAGTTTCTGTTTACTCTCCTCTGGACAGTGAGCTCTGATGAAGTGCTGCAGTAAGTCATTCAAGACATCCAGAGTCTGGTTTTTGTTTCTGGGTTTGTTTCTGGTTTATTGCATCCTTGCACATGTCAATGCAAATTCACATGTGAAGCTATTAAAAAGAGCCAGTAAAAGGGGGTGCTTCATTCAAAGGGTTCATGTGCATGGCTCTGGAAAAAGGTGCATTTTCACAGCATAGCAAAGGGTTCTGAGCTTTACTGCTGCATAACAAAAAAGACCAGTGGCACACACAGGACTCAGCACATGTGGGTCAACAGTTCCCACACAGATTCATGTGGAAACTTGACAGGCTGCGTGAAAACATGCTAGAAGGATCCCATGCTTGCCTTCATGTGGAATACAGAGTATTTCATTCACAGAAAAAATATTCCTCAAACTTACTCTTACAGGTACTGTTGAATGTGATCCACAATGAGGAGGAACAGTATTCCTGTACTAACACAACATGAAATTCCAACTTGAAAGAGCCCATAGTAAGGAATAAATATATATAACTATACACACAGAAAAAGTATTTTCAGTTACAAAAATAAGAACAATTCTACATAATTACATATTTCAAACCTGCATTTAAGATGCAGAAAAAAGGCTTTTTTCCAAATTCAAATCTGGAAACTTCCAAACATGCACTGGTAGGCTAAAGTCATGTTGTGGGGGGCACAAAAGCTATACCAAATTTATGTGACACATGCCAGGCAAAACTCAGACTGAGGTCAGAGCAAGTTCCCCAAATCCTTCACCCAAGCCCAGATTCTAAGGAGAGTCCATAAGGAGCACACTCCTTTACGCTTCCTGAGTTTAGAAATTGAAATCCCACAGTTAGGATGACTCCCATGCATCCTGCTTCATCCCTGTGCAGCAAATTAGGTAACAAGTGTGCTAACAGAGCAGGCCACAATCTATTCCTTACTGAACCTTCACACTACTTTAATTATAAACCTTGTACACACAACATTTTTTCAGGTTGTTGATTTAATTTACATTCCTTCTATGCACTTTTGGAAGACACTAGTTATTTCTGACAGATCTAATTAGGCAGACCCTCTTCACTGCCTGAGGCACCATTAACTTCAGCAGAGCTCTGCCATCACCCTACAACTGATGTCTTTAAAGTCAAAGAGAAGAAATTATAACAATTACCTCCTACAAAATTTTCATTCACAAAATTAAGTTAAATTATGCACCACTTAATGTTTCTGAGATAATATAAAAACATGCAGCAAACCATGAAGTTATTATACAGCATTGCATTTATCTCTTCTGCTATATCAAAATGATTTCTGTAATAAAATCTTAGCTAAAATGTCGCGCTCGCTTCACTCCATTAAAATACAAATAAATAAAGCTGAAAATCTGCTTGAATACTCAAATTAGTCCAAAATCTTAATAAATAAATAACTCTGCCTTTCTAATGAATGTGTGATCATGAGTCCAAGTTTACATTAAATGTATTTTTCAAAATGTACAGACAGCTGAGTGCATCCAATAGCTCCTGCTCAGCAAAAGGGAAGGTCTTCTCCTCAACTCCCTCCTCTCTTATTCTCCTTTCCTCCTGTCTGGGTTTGTTCTCTCCCTTCCTTGCTCACAGGAAGGTTCCCTGTGCCACACACTCACTTGTATACTGTTCCTTGGTGGTCAGGTTCTCCCAGGAGCCACTTGTATTTAAAAACATTGCAGAAACTTATCTGTATTTTCTTAAACTGGTTTCATTCTCTGTCACATCTATTTTTTTCATGGAGGGAATGATGAGTAGTGAAATCATGCAACCAGAAACAGAGGCAAATGGGAATAAGGGTATGTTTACCTACAGCACTATCTCAGCATCTCCCATTAAACTACATCTTGAAATGACACCAATACTAGCACACTAGATTAGCACAGACACATTTTTGAGCACTGAAGCCAAATGACACATAATAATCAGTATCTGGCCAGGATCTCTGCTCTACTTCAAAGCAAGGTGACTTCAAACAAGTTGCCTCCTGGAGGTGCACCACAGAACACTCCAACTCCCCACCTCCCAGCAAAAGCTGATAAGAAAATGCTAAAGGCAGAAGACCAAGAGTGTGCCAAGTAGCCTTGTGTCAGTTTACTCACACTGATATTCTAAAACTTGGGAATAGTCCCAGATTATGTTTAAGTTATTAGTATAGAAGCAACGGAGGAGTCTAGGTTCTTTCTAAAGCCTTTTAGAAAGGATTTTTTGAGGATTTTTCTAAAGCCTCCCTCTAGACTGAAGTGTTCAACAGGACTATGCAAATTCTCTGCTGCCCACCTCTCCAATCAGGTAAAGGACCACATCAGCCCATGCTGATGGTCACCAGACATACAGGGCTCAGGCATTTCAGGAGAGTGAAAAAAGCCATTTTAATTTAGTACTCTGTTCTTCCATTCCTATGGAATCTGCTTCTTCCAGAGCAGATTTTCTCCAGGACTTAGGTTTTCAGCTAGATCTTTTTATTCCAGTTTGGCAAGAAAAGGAAAATTTTGCAGACAGCTGATTGGGCTCTTCCCTATTTTCTGCCCACGCCCTACAATAATGTGTTACCCCATTGGACACATGCAATAAAAAAATTGCAGAGGCATGGAAGTTTTCAGGTCATTATATTCTTAAAAATTACATAAAACATGCAGCTCTATAAAATTCCTATAAATATTTCATCGGTGCAATCTCTTTTGGTATCACAGAATTGACATGGCAATTCAACCACAAGACATGTTCATAGAAAATGAGGCTGCTCACAGAACTACCTGTTGCCTTAAAGCCTATGGTGCCATTTACAAGCTTCCAGGAGGGATGTTTAGAAGTCTGCTTTACCAGAATTCTCCACTTGCACAAGAGACTGCACCTCCTACTCTTTTTCTGCTTGCCTTTCAGTTAATTGAGATGTTACATTTTCAAATGAGATTCTATGTGTACAAATAAGGATTGAAGTAAGATCCCTAAATTGTTTCTGTCTGCACTAAAATGACTATAGGCATGTCAGGCATTTAGGTCTCCAGCCAAAGAGAGTCAACTCACTTTCACCTAGAAACAGTGAAATTAAATAAAATCCTGTTTCTAATGAGAGCCTAGTGCCTGCAGCAGTAAGTCAGCATGTCCCAGCCCACTGCCACAGGAGTCAGGTCCCATGTGACAGCCACATGTACGTGTCTTATGTACACAGGCATAAAAAATGGCATCGGATGCCTGCTTTTAGGCAACTGAGCACACAGTTCATGCACTGATCCTAATCATGTTCCTGGACTAGGTTCCTAAATCCACAGCTAAAAACTGCCTGTAGGAGAGGGAAGAGATGCAGTGGAGCAGTGATTCAAGGAGTTAACACCAAAAGGGCATTTCATGCTAGTTTTATTGCCATTGCTGTTAGCAACAATGTTACTAGTCATTTTAAGACAAGAAAAAACACCTGACTTTCTTCACATGCACTTCTGCCAAAATCTTTCAGCTACTGTTGCCAATCTTTCAGAAAGCTGCCAACAACTTTCCCAGAAATCAAACATAACTAGAATAATCCTGCAGCAAACTGAGTGTTGGAACTCAGACACTTGGGCAACTATAAAGTAACAATATGAAATATCATCTCTAAAACAGCACACTGCCATGTTCCAGACACTATAGCAATGTACTTCTCTGAGAATATCATTGGAGCTCAAGGAAGAAAACAAAATCACTAGTGGTGAAGGCAGCAGTTGTTTCTAAAAATTCACACCAACACATTTACATACAGTAATTTAAATATTGTTCCCCTGAAAGTTCTTTTCTAAATCTGCTACTCAAAGAAATTAGTATTAACAAATACCACCAAAACTGCATTGGCATAGTTACAGTGTGATCTTCTAAAGAAAAGACTATAGCTTTGGTCTCTTTCCTCATAGCTTAGATTCTTTTACAACTTTATTTCTCTGGCCTGAATTTCCTTTGGTTTCTTCTGATAACATAGTAGCTATGAATTGCTAGTCACATTTTCTGTAACATCAATCTCCATTTTTCACAGACCCTTGAGTTACCCTAGAAATTATTATCTCACAGATAATTTTTGTGTATTCTTCTAACCTTCTTCCAAAAAAACTTAAAAAGTTTTGTATATCTATTTGAACATTTGGCTGCCTTGATGAGCCACAGAAGCTGTACTCCTCTTAATTGCTGCATGGTTCCCATAGTTACAGATACACATAGAACACTTTTTTTTTTAACATTACAGAAATCAGACAAAATAAGATAAATGGCATAAAACAGATTTACAGTCAGGACTGACAAAGTTTTAGTTGCTATTCATAAAACAGAGACAACTCTGTTTATCCACTTCTACATTTACAAACTGCAGTAAAAATATAGAAATGCTCAGAACATGACTGTCTTTAATCGTGGATGGGTATGTTCATCATTTCTGTGGGAGCTTTCCTTACAGCACCATTATTTATCCTTTTATGCTCTTCTTTTACATAATACATCTTATATATATATACACATAATTATTTATAAAAATCTCATGGAAAGGAAAACAAGTGGTGCAGGTCATAGGGGAATTGATACACATGAAATAAATTTTGATTTTTTTATTCTCAATGATACACTAAAAAATATTAAAAATAGCATTATGGATTCTACATCTTTGGAAACATTCAAAACCCAAAAGAACACAGTCCTGGCAACCTGATCTACTTGGACCTGCTCTAGGCAAGTATTTGGACTCGATGATCTCCAGAGGCACATTCAAACATCAAAAACTCTGTGAAACTCTAACAAATAAAGCACTGATAACAGCCTTATTGTTCTTCAGCTGTGTTACATACTTTACTACTAGAAGGCCTGCCTCTTTCTTGTCTCACTATCTTACGCAGGTTTCTGCCCTAAAGCAAACCATACATATAACCTGACCATTTGAGTGGAGAGGCTCTGAGCTCACAGGAGGGACTGTGGAAAGCCCACAGCATGCTGACCCATTTTCTTCACAGAGTAGACCCCGTGATGTATGAACATAGCCATGAACAGAGCTACTTCCTCAGCTATCCATGAGCTTAAGATTACTTCTACCAAAAGCTGGTGGAGTGGCTGAGTGCTGGAAAACTTCCAATATGATATAGTGAGAACAAAGTTGTTTTATATTTATAGAATATATGTGTCTGTCTGTGTATATATATGCACTCATATATATATGCACACATCTCCAGAGATTGCAGAGATTAGGTCTCTATCCTGTGCTGAAGTAAGGTGTGCACAGCTGATGGCATCCCCTCTAGGTTTGAGAGATTGTCTACCTAAAACATGTATTTGAGGTTCCCAACCTGTGCAATGCTTATCACTGCTGAGTTAATGAGAAGAACATACTGGCCTTGACAGCCACCAGGAGCATGGGGTCACCTGGAGATCTCTGGTGACACCTCTGTCTGCAGAGGCAATTCAGGGGAAAGGAAAATGAACACAGGAAAGG